CTAAGGTTTAGCTACAACTGTTCACTATCACCAAGAAGACAAGCTTGAATAATTTCTAACTTATAGATATTAAGATTCTTCTGTTTAACTAATTAACTACCAAATTAAAATAGTAAATTAACAACTAACGATACTGAGGTTTAGAGAAAAGATTAAGGAGGTCTAGAGTTATGATTTCCCAATTATCGGAATCCTTCCCGCTATGTCTTCTATAATTTCGCCTAAGTATTCTCTACCGACCATGAGCACTCTTATTACCGTAAATCTCTCCCGAGTAATTACGACAATTTACTAGACGCACTCTCCCGAGCTACGCTAGCTGGCTTTTAATACAGCTCACTTCAGATCGCACCCAAGGCTTCGTTATCCCTAATCCCGCCTTTAAACCCTCGGTTATTGATCCCTCATATACTCTGGGAGTGGTGTTGTTCAACAATTACCTAAATATGCACTCTCTCCCGAGTTATGCATACTAAATAGGCACAACTAATTGAGAGCTATTCAATCAACCACAATATAAACGTAGTTGAACAAATAGAGAAAAAGTATGGCTCAATTATATAAAAACATAACAAGAATTTATCCTACAAAAGGTTCTATCAAAACTCTAGATAACAAATTAGCTATTCATAATAGTATGTAAAACTACAATACTAAAAGTCATAACCAACAATGAAAAATAGGAAGAGGAAGGAAAAACTCGTAGAAGAATTCTCCGCCTTGCTCCCTAATGTGTTCTTGCCTCCAAGGGTGTTGTCTAACCCTAAAGTAGTGTCTCTCCGCCTCCTTAGGTCTAATTTGTGTCCAGAATATGTCCCCTTCTTGTTCTTGGCCGGCCTCCTTTGTTTAATATAGGGTTTAGGACTTAAAATCCCATGTTTTGCACTTTAGTCCCTGAAATTTTCGCTTCCTGCCGCGTTTTTGCCGCGGTCGCGGTGGAACCGCGGCCAAACATGCCCTCTAATTCTTCAGTTGTCCGCGACCATCTTCTACCGCGGTTCTGCCGCGGTTGCGGCAAAAAGGCGGTTTTTCACCCTGTTCCGTTTGGAATTTGGAAAAACGTAAAACATGAAAATTGTAGCCCTTTGCGTTAGCTTTCCAACCATATATTATGGAGCCCAAATGGAGTTCTGAGCAAAAAGTTATGTCTATTTTACTAGACAGTGCGAAATATGCCTCCTCAAGTCTTCGTTCGTACTTAATTATCAAATTTGACCCCCGAACACGATCCCGGCTTAATTCCTTGAGCTTTTACTCAGACTTCAAAGCTTCAAATCACTTAAATTCATTCCATAACATCTATATAGCTTGGAATCACGCCTACAAGGCATAAAACACACAATTAGTGCAAAACACTAGCGATTAAAGCGCAAACTCAATTAAAGTACAGTAAATTCGAGTGTAATAAGCGACTAAAATATGCAATTATAGCCTATCATCAAGGCACGTATACAAGATTTATGTAAGCAGTTTCGATTTATGTCACAACTTGAGTACTTGTATTGTATGCCGGTTTGAGTTTGGTGCTGTGGCTTGTGGGATTCAAGATATTTACTTCATGTCTCGAATTGATGTTTACTTTATATATTTTCAAAGCAGTGGTATGTTTTATATACAAATATTACTCTCTTTGTCCCACTTAATGTGATATATATTTTTTAGTCTAAAAAGAAAATATCGTCATTTATATATTTTTAGAAATAATTTAATCTTAAATTTTTCTTTTCATCTTTAATGACATGATGGCCCTGTTTGGCCATAATTGTTTTCCCACTAATGTGCCACATGGCGTACCGGAGTGCGCCGTGCTAGTGCAAATTTTTTGCAGAGTGACAAACTTTGCCCCTCTGATAAAATCCCACGTGCGCGGTGCATGGTGCACGCATGGGGCGGCATATTAGTACAAAATAGTGCCCAACTTTTCACTTCGGCTTGGAAAGGTTTATTTCATCCGGACCAGTTCTTACATGGTATAAATACACCAAAAATATAATTTCTAGAGGAGTTTTGACCTAGGAACGTTTGGGAGAGAATTGGAGGTGTTAGTTTGAGTGCCCGTATGGATTACTAAAGAACTTGGTTCTTTATCGTGTTCCTTAAGCGTAAAGTAAACAAGCAATAAAATAAACACAGCGACTTTTACATGGAAATCACCCCGCTCAAAAGATGCAAAAACCACGACCTACCACGTAGGATTTTCAAATCCAACTCCACTAGAACAATGAGCCAAACTGTATCAATTACAAGGCTGTAATTAAATAATCTCCAGTACTCCTACTACTCCTATTTGATTCACAAGTTACTCTAACTTGTAAAGCAAAATACTTACTCCAACAAATTATTTATGACACTTGATTACAACTCAATTTTCTAAAAACACATTCACTAGACTGACTCGGGAAGAATACAAGGCAAGCACTCAACACGAGTAAACAACTTATAACTACTTTGTTGATGTGTAAAAGGATAGTTCAGAAATTCAAAGTCGATCCTATTTAGAACACAACTTGAGATTTTCTAGGAGTCCTACTCATAGTCAGCTTCCTCTTTAATAGAACTCCTACACAAGCTTTGGGACTTTAGTCTCTAACTGAATTATCCATATCTTCTTGAAAAATGGCCTTTTTACTTATAGTAGCCATCTTCCACCAAACTCCGACCTGGATAACTTTGAGATAAATAGCCTGTTTGGCCAAGCTTCTTTTTGGCCAAAAGTGTTTTTTTTTTGCCAAAAGCACTTTTGGCCAAAAATTGAGGTGTTTGGCCAAGCTTTTGGAAGGAAAAAAAGCGCTTTTGAGGAGAAGCAGAAGCAGTTTTGGAGAAGCAGAAAAAAGTAGCTTCTCTCCAAAAGTACTTTTTTGAGAAGCACTTTTGAGAAAAATACACTTAGAAGCAGTTTTTTAAAGCTTGGCCCGACACTAATTGCTGCTCAGAAGTGTTTTTCAAACTAATTAGCCAAACACAAACTGCTTCTCACCAAAAGTACTTTTGAGAAAAGCACTTCTCAAAATAAGCTGATTTTTGCAGCTTGGCCAAACGGGCTAAAAGTTACTGTCTTGTACAGACGTACAAGTATCTGATTCTTTCTCCTGAGGAGCTGGTTCTTCAGAACAGCTAAGAATCTACGTTGAGGACCTGGTTATTTGAACATTGAGTCATACTCTGTTAATTATCAAAAATATAATACTCAAATAAATTTCCCCTTTTTGATGATGACAAACTTTGTACGCAGCAGAGCCAAATAATCACATCAAAGAACTAGATAATCATAACAAGTACTATTGACACCGTATGTTCACAACACCTTCTAACCTTATCTTCCTCCTTTTGGCATCATCGAAAACACACAAAAAATGTTAGACATTAAACACAGATAATGTAAGATTCAAGGCCAAATAGGATACAACACAAGCTTAAGAAAGGGAAAATAGACTAGGCTGATGATCCAATATAGTACATACTAGTAAAGCAGAGCAATATGAGACATTAAGTAGTGCCAAAAGAAGCTCGAGCCTTGTCTTCATCATTAGAACAAAACAAACTAAGCATACTGCAAACTAATCAGACTAAGACAAAAAGAACAAAAGATAAGGCATCACTGAAATAGCAAAAGAACTAAGGACACTGTGAAGGAACATGTTCATGGGTTAGAAGTAGAGGGGGTCAAAGCTTTTATGAGGGTGGAAATTTGTTGAGCATGAGCCTCCCTGTCTCTTTTGACCTCTTCCCTGAGTTGCTTTGTTTCCTTTTCAGCTCATTATTGTCTTCATGAAGCTTGGCATTCTCTTCACCAGCCAATTCCAGCCTTTTGCTGAGTTCTGCAACCCTACTGCTCCCAGGAAGAATAGCAGATCATATGGTTCCTCTAGCCTTGATCTCCTCATACCCACACTGCTTGCGAGTAACAACATCCAAAACATCATTGTTTTTTCCAAACTTAAGCTCAGGTAAAGCAATGTTGAGCTTGTCAACAACTCAGCCAATATGAAACTATATGGCATAGCATGCTTGGGTTTGGAAGTATCTGCAGCTCTTGCCATAGCTGAATCATCAAGCTAGGAAGATTGATAGGTCTACCAGTGTTAAGCAGTTCCATTACAGCCATGTCCAGCAGAGTAGCTTCATGCCTTCTCTCAGACCTCTGAAGAATGGAGTTGACAAAATGAAACAATAACTTGGGGAAGGGAGTCATATCTGTCCTGTACACTTTCTGGGAGCATCTAGTTCAAACTTTTGGGAGACCTTCATGGTGACCACAATGCCAGTGTCAACATCATTGTCTATGGTTGGCCACTTCTTCTTCAAGTAATTGTCAAATCCCAAAGAAGAGATATTCAGAAGCATCCCCAGCTATTCAGCATCAAACTCCATGTCAAAGCCCCCCACCTTACTCTTGACTACCTTCCCATCAAACGTGAAATTGGCATAGAACTCCACCACAACAGGAACATATTTGTGCTTCCACCTTTGTAGCTCAAGTTTTTCAACCAGTTGAGCCATCCCCTTCTTATCAGTGTTCGCAAGAATCTTCCCATTTAGCACTTTTCTATTCCTGAACTCTGTGAGTCGATCAACTGCAGCTGGCACATTCTTTCTTGTCTTACCCCTACTGGCCCTTGTAGAAGAGGTAGCGGGTTTGGTGACTTTGGCACCCTTTTTCTTTGGTGTACAGACTTTGTTGGCATGCAGAGTCGGATTCATCTTCTCCATCCACCTTAACAACAGGTTTCACAATTGAAACCTTCTTCTTTGGTTTCTTCCCACTTCTGGACTCCTTAATAATTTGTGCATCAACAGTCTTTCTTTTATTCCTTGTGCGAGGAGTTCTGGAAGGAACAACCACTCATTTCCTTGTTGAGGTTGCTGACTTTGTAGCTTTCACAGGGGTCTTCCTGGACTTCTTCCCTACCTTAGATAGTGGCACATCTTAATCACTGCTAACTTCTTCATCTCCAGTGAAAGGAGTCAACAGAGACCTAGGTTCTTGAGCCCTTGTCTCTTTAAAAAATTTCTTCTGAGAGGGCTATGACGGTGTTTCCAATTGTCATGGAGCCTCCATATTCCTTACTCACATTTCGCTCTTCTTCCTCACTCTTTTCAACACCTCCTTCACTCTCACTTACTTTTTCTTGATCCTCACCTTCACTTTCAGAAACCTCCTCTTCTTCACCAAGATTTTCTTCTTTTGCAGAATCATTAGCCTCTTCACCTGTCTTATCCTCTGTATCACTCTCCTTCTCATCTTCAGATGCTCCCTCATTCTCACTTTTTTCTTCTTCTTTGGCTATGTTTTGAGCATCATGTTCCTCATGACTGTTCGTAGCTTTTTCTTCTTTTTCACCCCCATCATCTTCCGCATCCTTAGTCCAACTAAAGGAAAGACCATCAGAAGCCCCCTTTTGCACAAGTTCTTTACTTCCTTCCCCCTCAACCACAGGTTCCACAGCCATTGTATCTACCTTCTTCCCTAGATCCCCTGCACACTTTTCTATAGTGAATTTCTCCACTTGTGTCTTCTCACTTGTGGGTGGGAGAGTATTTAGGGGTGCAACATCTATAGTAGACACCAAAATATCTAATGTGGAAAGAGGATGTTGTACTTGATCAGTAGTAACATTCACTGATTCCCCCTAAACCACAGATTTCTTGTCTACAGTGTCACCCTGCATAGTAGCATCAAGCACTTTCTTGATAGATTTTCTTGGAGTGGCTTTGACCTTTGTTGACTTCGAGGTATTTCTCGTAGGAGTCTCGGGTGCATGGGTAGTTATTTTTAGAGGACGGGATACAATGGAGGTGGGAATGATGGGAACAACCTGAATAGTAGGAACATCAGATAATGATGTAGGTATAGTGGAGGATATCGAAGGAGAAGGAACATGTGTAGGTGTGGTTTCTCTTGATTGCTGGGCATTTTTTTTGATTTGGGCTTCAAGATTTTGTGTTTTTGTAACAACCCGACCAGTTGTTTTGAGCTCTAGCGCGTTGTTAGGCAGTTTGAGGCCTTGAGTATCTTCACTTAATGTATTACGACTTGTACGTATGGTCGGAATTGGATTTCATAAAGTTTAGAGACGATTTGGAAAGAAATCTCTAATTTCGGAAGCTTTAAGTTGGAAAAATTGACTAGGATTTAACTTTTGAGTAAACGACCTTGGAATCGGGATTTAAAAGTTTCAACAGGTTCATATGGTGATTTTGGACTTGGGTGTATGTCAGGATCGGGGTTTGGATGACCCGGGAGCGTTACGACACTTATTGTGGAAAGTTGGCATTTTAGAAGAATTTCTTAAATTTGGGTTGAAGTGTATTTTAATGTTATCGATGTCCGTTTGGGATTCTGAGCCTGATCCATATGGTGATTCTGGTCTTAGGAGCGCGCCCGGATGTGATTTGGAGGTCTGTAGGTCATTTCGGGATCATTTGGCGAAAGTTGGAAGTTTGATGATTTTTGTGAAATTTAACCGAGAGTGTACTTTTTGATATCGGGTTGCGATTTCGATTTCGGAAGTTTGTATAGGTTCTTAATATCGAATGTGACTTGTCTGTAAAATTTGAGGTCAATTGGACGTGATTTAATAGGTTTCGGCATCGGATGTGGAACTTAGAAGTTCAATAGTTCATTATGCTTGAATCGATGCGCAATTTGTAGTTTTGATGTTGTTTGACGTGGTTTGAGGCTTCAACTAAGTTTGTATTGCAGTTTGCGATGTGTTGGTATAGTTGGATAAGGTCCCGAGGACCTCGGGTGGATTCTGGATAGTCAACAGATCGAGTTTGGACTTGGAAGAAGTGCTGAGGCAGCTCATATCAGGTGCAATCACACCTGTGTGGAAAGGGTCGCATATGCGGCGATGTGGTCGTAGAAGCGACATTTAGACTTAGCTGGGATGGCCGAAGATGCGAGGATATTTTTGCATCTACGTGCTCGCAGATGCGATGAAAACTCTGCATAAGCGAAATGCGAACTGGACAGCTAGAGTAGCAGAAGCGTAAGGTCTCCGCATGTGCAAGACTGCAGGGGCGCGTTTTGCATCGCAGGTGCGGAGCTGTGCTGGGCAGAGGGTATGTGGAGGTGCGAGGTTTTGGCTGCACCTGCAAGACCGTAGATGCGGTGAAACAGCCGCATGTGCGATAGTCGGGCTGGACAGTGTTCTTTTAAAACAAAGGGTTTGGCTCAATTCCACTTCATTTCGTCCATGGGAGCCGATTTTGGAGCAATTTTAGAGTGCCATCTTCATCAACTATTATGGGGTAAGGGATTTCTTCACATTGTAAGTTGAATACATGGTTTTTATATGGATTCAAGCATACAAATTGGTAGAAATTGTGAGATTTTGAAGGAAACCTAGAAATTGATACTTTTGTGTTTTGACCACAAATTTGGGCATGGAATTGGGATTAAATTATATATTTGAGTTAGTAATTTTATGGGTAATGTTTATCTTCAAAAATTTTTGGAATCCGGGCACGTGGGCCCGATGGTTGGCTTTATTGATTTTTTGAGCGGAGTTGGAAATTGTTATAATTTGATTTATAATGAGTATTAGTGCATATATTTATGGATTTGCACATTGAATGACTAGTTTTGGAGCGATGGGCAGCGGTTTGAGGTGTTAGAGCGGCGTTGGAGCCGGTTATGGTTTCGGAGCGAAGTAAGTCTGCTGTCTAACTCAGTGAGGGGGAAAACAACCCCTAGGTGATGTAATTGATAGGTGTTACTTTTGGCGGGGGCTACATACCCACGAGGTGACGAGAGTCGGTACATAGCTAGATTCATGTTATTGTCCGGGTAGACTTAGTTTTACACCATCTATACTTGTATTATAAGGGTTATCCTTGCTCGTTTATGTTACACCCCATGCTTTCGTACGTAAGAGTACGTCTTAAGTCAATTGATGTAAGACTAAAAATGAGATCATCTTTGGAAGTATATAAAGTAAGTTATCATGTTACATATATTGAAGATCATGAACAACAAGTAGAAAGAGGGATGGAAGGTTTAGAAGCTAAGGAATTGAAGAAAATAGTGTTTCGTCGAAAGTCGACAAGTTGGGAATGTTATAACATGTACTTTTGGGGTGAGACTAGGGTGCTTAAAATGATAAAAAGGTTATTTTATGAGTTATGTTAGTCGTATGTTATGTTCTGAAGTCAATCGAGGTGTGGAACAAAAGTCTATGAAGGTCATCACAAGTCACGTTCATAAGTTTTACTGAAAATTTGGGTCAAATGTAACTGCGACTTTCTCCCAATATACTTAGAGTTATGGGGTGTTCAAGCCATCAAATTGAAGCTCTATGGGTCTATTTTCTAACTCATTAAACCGTTTGTCAATATGACATCGGATTAGAGAGATATATGCATTTTTACGAGACTGCACAGGCTGCTAGGTGACAAGTAGGTGTGTCACCTACTTACTCAAATGAAAGTCCAAAAAGGGGCTATTTTCGGGTCGGCCAAAGAGACAAATTTAAGGCTTATCTCATGCAATATAACACCCATTACATAACACAATAACCATACCTAAACCCCTGCAAACATCCTCCCAAAAATTTCTCAAAAATCCTAATTGATTTTCTCTCCTTTTCAAGTTCTAATTGGAGGTAAAACCTAGAGTTAGAAGAACCAAGATAGGAGCTGAGTCATCCAACAAATAAGGTAAGTTTACTTATCTCTTTCATCCATTTTTTCTGCTGTAAATGCATGGTAAGTCGTTCTATATTTGTATGAGCTCACGGGACGGTTATCGAAAGCCGTGAGTTCGAGTTATTCACTTGTAGCGGACTGTTTTGTGGACCGTTTTGTGTTGCCTTTGGGCTGCGTATTTTACTATTGTTTTGGAGGAGGAAGGGTGTGGAGAAACACCACATAAATTCAGGGTGGTGGTCTGGTCGTTCGTCGTAACATTTTCGGGCTGTTTGACACTACTACGGTGGTCGTTGTATTTGAAGAGATTGGGATGTGTTGGGCTGTTTTATAGTATTTTGTGGTGTATATAAGGCTGGAAAATAATGTATATATGTTGTTATTGTTGTGTTCTTGTGTTGTTGGTGTTATCTTGAATTTGGAGGAAGTAAGGATTATAGGGGAGATGCTGGGCGTTTTAATACAAAATAAGCTTGTCGTTCATTGTGGTAAGGTATGTTAAGGCTAAGCCTTTCCTTCATTTTGGCATGATCCCATAACTACATGTGCTTGATACCGAGGCATACAGAGAAGTTCTTATTCCTGAATTTATGTACATTATCCTAGTCTCATAAGCTACAGTATTCTCCCTTATCGGGACTTTATATTCAGTTTAGTTTTGTCTTCTTTTAGCCAAGAGAGAAGAGAGTCTATATATACATATATATAGTATTACAGTATTTTCACCACCATCGAGCAATAAACGATGGGCAGGCCCCTATTGGGCAACCTCTGATCAGATGGTAAGTTATATACCAAGCCTACTGTGGTCGAGCGCCTATGAGCGAGCCAGAATGGCTGAGATACAGAGCCTAGTATGGCCGAACGCCTATGAGCGAGCCTACTATGGCAGAGCAGTTACATATGCCGAGCCTTATAGGGTCGGACAACTATTTTACTTACTATATTGAGAGAGATGAGTCAGTATCAACAGGTAAGTATATCTTCAATTATATCGGATTTACCAGGTTTATACCTTGGAGTCCATTTTATATATACAGGTTTGATGGGTAGGTCGAAACCCTGTCCCAGCCATGATACAGTTCAATTATCCCTAGAGGCTTGTAGATGAGTCTTGTACATTTTTTATATCAGTATTGTGGCTTTACCAGACCTATGTAGATGTTTAGTTTGATATTGCTAGTTGAAGGTTTTCAGATGATTCAGAATATGTCCTCATCGGCCTAAGTTGAGGGTTACCCTTCTAGAGTTCATAGTTACAGAGTGGTATGCTCAGGCCGAGTATGGAATCGGGTGCCGACCATGCCTCTTCAGGTTTGGGGCGTGACAGTTTAATTCCTTTATTTCGCATTACGTCTTGAGACTAGACGTGCGTAGAGTGATAGACTTGCTATCGTAGAGATTTGACGAGTTTCATGATTAGCCGCAGAATAATTGTGTTCCTCTTATGAATTTCTCCCCTGCTATGCGTTTTTAGCGAAAGGTTTTCCTTGTAAATTGCAACTCATACATTTATTCGTGAGTAGGGTCAAGGACCCGTTAAAGCTTCTTATTCTAATGGGATCGGGCCGTTTGCCTCGGCAGGATTATGTTCCACACTACCATGGGAGCGGGCCGTTTGCCTCGGGAGTATAATAGATGCATCTATGGTTCGTGCCGTTTGACCCTCGGTAGTGCACAGATTATGATGGGATCGGGTCGTACACCTCCAAATTTCTATAAAATACTCTCATGGAATCGTGCGTAATATTTGACAAGAAGTCAGTGTATCGAGAGCTTGAGTCTATTGTAGAAAGGAGGAATGTTTCACGTACTTACACTTGTTTATTTTGTTTGTTTACTCTGGCGCATATCTGTTTACTTCTTATTATAACTGTCATATTGGACCATTAGTAAGTGTCGATATCGATCTCTGGTCACTACTTCTCTAGGGTTAGGCTACTTACTAACTGGAAACGCATTGATTTACGTACTCATGCTA